AAATTCAGATATAAAAGACCTCTAAATGAATCACAGTGTTCAATAAATGTATGTAGGCTTGAGAGAGATAAGAAACAGTTAAAAGAAAAGTAAATGGTTTTAAAAAGTAAAACAAAGTCTTTAAAGAGACAGAGTACAGACAGTCATAGATTAAAAGAGTATAAAGAAAAATAAGCTACATAAAGATGGAATATATACAGGGAGTATGGATTATGTATATCATTGTGTTTTCTTTGAAATTTTTGACTGTGAATGAGTTAAGTACAGAGAGACATCTCATTGCATGAACTGCTAAGCTAAACCAACATACACACACACATACACATACACACATACACATACACACATACACATACACACATACACACACACATACACATACACACACATACACATACACACACATACAGATACACACACATACACATACACACACACATACGCACACATACACATACACACATACACACACATACACATACACACACACATACACATACACACACATACATACATACACATACACTCATACACACACACACACATACATGTAGAGGACCGCAACCACATTCGCCATTCCAAGATGGCGCTGACATCCGGTTCCACTGCGCGGTGAACAGGATAACGCGCATGTGTTGGCAAATTTCCAACGCTGTAGTCCCTGCCTCTCCCGAGGCATCATCTGGGATGATGGGCAGCTGACCAATCTGAGAGTGACACGTCCGAGGCGGGGACTGTTTCCTATATAAGGGCTGGGTTCGCCTCGCTCTGGGTCTCCGCCATGTCGGCTTATGCTCTCGCTCTCAAGATGCATTAAAAAGCTGTTCTGCAGAAGGATCCTACGTGCCCTGCGTCGTTCTTGCTGGCGAGACAGTAGCGCGGGACACATACACATACACACACATACACATACACACACACATACACACACATACACACACACATACACATACACACACATACACATACACACACATACACACACATACATACACACACATACACACACACACACACATACACATACACATATATTTGTAGCATGAGGGCCGGCTTGTTGGGGTTTCCGTCCCGCCCGGTACCCCAACAGCTGGCAAATCCCAAAGAGAAATTACACACAGGATTCCATAAGGTTATAAACTGATTGGCTCATTAGGTCAGGCTACTTATTAGCTCTTATAACTTATGTTACCCCATTATTCTTATCTACGTTAGCCACATGGGCTCATTACCTTTCTCAGTGTGACAGCTTACATGTTGCCTCTTCCGTGGTCTGCACAGGAATGCTGAGGGAGCTCTGCTTCCAGAATACTCCCAGTCTCTTTGCTCCACCCCTACTTCCTGTCTGGCTTTCCCGCCTATACTGCCTGCCTGGCCAATCAGCGTTTTATTAAAATGATTGACAGAATACAGACAATTCTCCCGTATCATTTCCCTCTTTTTTTTTTTAAACAAAGGAAAATACCCATAGTCCATTTGTTGGGAATGTGGGCGTAGTATTTCAGGCTACTTCCTGCTGGTTGTGGGCGCTGATAATCTTATGGGGACCTAAAGAAAATTTAGAATTATCATCAAGTCCTGACTGGAGTATCCTGTGAGTCTTGATCATCTCAGGCAGCAGTCTTGAATCTGTTCTGGATGTAGAACTCAGACATCTGGGCCATCTGTTCCTGTCGGAGATTTCTCAGGTGGCCTTCCTTGATCATACTGGATTTTTCTTAACTCAGAATGAATCCACAACCTCTCATTTTCTGTGGAAACAATAGCAAAATCTCTTCTCCAAAGTAACAAACCTTTTGACTTCATTTTTGAAGCCAAGGTATTTTCAAAATACCTATCTTGGGTTAGTTCAGCAGTATTTATAAACAACAGTCCTTTAGCAGCTGTTGCTCCTTCCTTAGCATTCAAACAATTCAAAGAGAGCATAATAGCATACAGTATCAAGATTCTCTGTGTATTTTCCATCTTTATGTAGCTTTATTTTAACCTCTATTTCTTTTATTTTTACTTTTACTTTTTGAGACTGGTTCTCTGTATATCTTTGTCCTGGAATAACTCTGTAGACCAGGCTGTCCTTGAACTCACAGAGATCCACTTGTCTCTGCCTCCCAAGTGCTGGGATTAAAGGCAAGTGCTGCCATACCTTGAACTCACAGAGGTCTGTCTCTGCCTCCCAGGCATTGGGATTAAAGACGTGTACTACCACACCTAGAGGTCACAGAGGTCAATCTACCTCTGCCTCCCTTGTGTTGGGATTAAAGGTGTATACCACCACACCCAACTACTTTCTTTCTTCTTCTTTTACCCTAAGAACTTTAACCTTTAGCCTGCATATATTTTTAACACTTAGTAAACCATTTAGAGGTTTTCTTCGTCTTTGAACCTCTCTTTACTGTATCTCTCTCTCTTTTTTCTGACCACATGAGTCTAAAATCATGGCTTTGACGGTTAGACCCAGCCCGTTATTTAGCTTTCCAGCATCATGGCTGAGGTACCAGTCAGAGCTGTGTTCACTGCCACAACTCTATGGCGTTTCAAGGTCCTTGCCAGCAAGCAAACTGCAACATTCTGCTCATAGACCACACTCAGTCGGACTGCCTGCCTGAAAGAGTCAGAGTTTGCTCTGGCAGGACAGCCCAGATAGCCGGCATTTTAAAACAGCACAGCTTTTCTCCTGCTACAGCTGAAAACTGAAAAGAATGCGTTCAGCTTGTCATCAACAACATTTAAGTGTTTTGTGGCAGGACCTCTTTAAAGAGCTGCAAGGTTTTGCAGCTAAAGCTGAGTCAGGAAGCCTCTCTCAGAAGAGAGTGCTTGCTTGCCTCTAGCAAGCAAAGTAGACCTGAGAAATTGCTGCCACCAAGAAGCCATGCTTTACTCTATTCTTTTCCAAGCTTTCTCAGGCTTTCTGTGGATTCAGTTATCCACGTCTGGGTGCCATATGTAGCATGAGGGCCGGCTTGTTGGGGTTTCCGTCCCGCCCGGTACCCCAACAGCTGGCAAATCCCAAAGAGAAATTACACACAGGACTCCATAAGGTTATAAACTGATTGGCTCATTAGGTCAGGCTACTTATTAGCTCTTATAACTTATGTTACCCCATTATTCTTATCTACGTTAGCCACATGGGCTCATTAGCCGGCCCTCATGCTACAATATTAAAGGTATCTTGACTTCAAAATTTGGGCCTAAGAATATTTTGCTTTGAAAAAGAGGTTCTGCTTTTGTTTCCATAGAAGACGAGAACCTGTGGATTCCTGCCAGACTAATGTGGTTTGATGAACCAAAATCCCCCTGAAGAATCTCTGATAGGAGTGGATTTCCCATATGATACAACATTTCAGAAGACCTCTGTTGGAGTTTTCTTTGAATTCTACATCCAGAACAGCCTCAAGACTGCTGGATGAGATGCTCCATCCGCACAGAATATTCCAGTCAGGACTTGACCATAATCCTTAATTTTCTTTAGATCCCCATAAGATTATCAGCACCCCCAATTAGTAGGAAGTATTCTAGAAAACTATGCCCAAATTCCCAAAAGTTTGTCTTTGTTTAGAGTGTTGGTTACAAGTTGTTATGTTAATAATAATAAAAAAAGCTAAACAAAGGAGATTAGATTCAGAGTCCTTGCTTGTTTGTTTTTTTTTAAAGGGGGGTTAAGCATGGTGGGATAATAGTCTTGTGTCCTATAAAGATTTGTCACTTGTATTGGTTTAATAAAATGCTGATTGGCCAGTGGCCAGGCAGGAAATATAGGTGGGGAGGTGGGGAGATCAGAACAGGAGAATTCTGGGAAGAGGAAAGACTCAGTCTGCAGTCATCATCCAGACACAGAGAAAGCAAGAGGAGAATGCCTCACTGATAAAGGTACCAAGCCATGTAGCTAACACAGACAAGAATTATGGGTTAAAATATAAGAGTTAGTTAATAAGAAGCCTGAGATAATAGGCCAACCAGTTTATAATTAATGTAGGCCTTTGCGTGTTTCTTTGGGACTGAACAGATGAGGGACCAGTTGGGACAGAAACTTCTGTCAACACCCCTTCCCCTCCTCTCTTGTCCTCCTTGTTCCCCTGTTATACATACACACACACACACACACACACACACACACACACACACACACACACATTCCTTGCTTCAGAATTTGAAATAATTTTTGTTTTCATATATGAAGGTGAAATATGACACAAAAAAGATGCAGACCATTCCAATTTAATCCCCTGGAGTTGGCAGGCAATGAAATTCAGGAAGGTCACTTGGAATTTGAAATAGCAGCATTCACCTCCAAGTGTGACTCTGAGATGAGTTAATGTTTGGCAGGAGTGAGGAAGGTTTCAATCTGCATGGCAACAAGAAAAGGTGACAGAATGGCCTGTGAAATGGAAACACTTAATTGCACTGGCATGTAATTAAACACACAAATCTGTAAGTCTAAAGAGCTAAATAACCTATTTGGCAAGTACATATGTATTTTTTTCTGGGCTGAGGGAAGAGTCATTAAAATGATATTTTTTTTTTTTTTTGCAGAAAATAGAGAAATTTTTGCTTTTTCTAAGAATAGAACTTTATGTAGCTTCAGCATCCATCCTGGCAGTAGAAAGTTCGGGACAACTGTAGGGACATGGGGAGGGAAACGAACCTTTGCTCTGGAGTCTGACTGGGGTCTTACCAGCTGAGAGAAAAAAAGCTCCAGTCCAATTAAGAAAATTCACTGTGGAGTTTGTCTACACACAGACATTATGTCTTTTATATGGAGACATTTCAAACTTATGAACAGGAGAGAGGAACCAGTGGGGGAGGCTAGGGCCTGGAGCCTTGAAAATGAGCAATTCTGTTTCTTGTCCTTGACAACTAGTCCTGTCTTGGCTGGAAGCCGTGAGTGTCCTTGGTTCTGTTGGCAGTAATGTCCTGGCTGGAGGCCTGATAGACCAAAATATTTAGAGGCACTGGTTTATGTGCTGGTTTATTGTTCTTAATCTTTCTTCCCCTTTACATAGCAGATTTAATGAGCACAGCTGCCTGGAAGCATTGCATGATGGGACTTCTGGAGGAGGTGTCTGGAACTCCAGTCAAGATGCTGAGCTGGCAAGGTGCATGGCAAAGGACCAACCGGCTCCCCCCAAGCCCATGCCTCATCCCAGTAAAGTTTTCTGAACTCCTTGGGGATTTTTCTTAACTGCTCACCTATAATAAAATGTTTTCTGCAACTCACTCTTCTGTTGTCCGTGAAATGCAGTCATAAGATAATGGAGGTGGAATTTTAGTGGTCATTGATTACCAGCCCTCTAGCCCCTGATACTGCTCCCCTGAGGTGAGAAGACTGTCACAGTGCAGAAGACCCTTCACCTTGCTTTTCCCCTTTGTCAATACAAGTGTTAAAAAACCAAAAAGTCATGCGTAAGACCTCCATGTATATGATCTCTGGGTACTTGTTCCTTTCCAGGTGCAATTCCTGTGAATTTTTCTGGGAATATTACAAACAAAACTACACACTTCATTTGCATCAAAAGAAAGTGCTGATGCTGGCAGGTTTTGTGTCACTTTGACACAGGCTCTAGTCATTTGAAAGATGGGAATCTCAGTTGAGAACATACCTCCGTAAGATCTGGCTGCAGGCGAGCCTATAGAATATTTTTAAATTAGTAATTGATGTGGGAGAGCTCAGTCTATTGTGGATGGTCCTATCTCTGGGATGGTGGTCCTGGGTTCTGTAAGGGAGCAGGATGAGCAAGCCATGGAAGTAAGACAGTAATTAGTGTGATGGCCAAAGTTATGTTTTAAGTTTAAATTGCTATGATTAATAGATCCATAAAGCAAAAATGCTTTAAACCTGTAAGCCCCACTTGCCCAAGGACAGATAACTTCCTCGAATGCTGGGGGCTGTTGTTCATGTAAGACAACAAGACACGTGTGTTTTCACATCTGTAAACGAGCCTGGTTGTCCCAACTGCTCAAGCCTGATCATACGTAGGCTGGAAGTACGTCAGGATGTGTGCTTGTCCCTGACTGGATGAAGGCAGGAAGTATGTAGTCTTGTGGGAGTTGCCTTTATAAGACCCTGACTAATGTAATTCACAGTCATACTCTGGGAATCCCAGGTATGGATGCGACCAGTGCCCATCATCCTGTCCAGTATTTAATAAAGCTTGTTTCAAATTTGGCTAAAAAAAAATTGTGGTGGTGGTCTTGTTCTCACCTGGAAGAATCAACATTTTCTGGAGGCCCCAGTGGGATCAGACCATCCACCCAGGTTTTAAAGACAGACCTTTACTTTGGGACCCCATGGCTGAAGGGCCACCTCAGGAGGTATGCACCTTGAGACTTTCCGAGGTTCCAAGGCATGCTTTTGGGTTGCAGACTGTCAGAGTGAACTGCCATGCTGAGAAAAGCTGTAAGTATGGATGGGGGCCTTCCTTGGTAATTTTCTGTGACTTCCGGCCTTTGGGATCCCTATCTGGGATGGGAGGAACTCAACAAGACCCAGTCTTCTCCTGTCTAGGGCAAAAAGCGTGTCGTCACCCGCCCACCTGGTTCTGGTTGTTTAGAAAGTTTTGTGGTTCTGTGTTTCTGCTGTGTTCATAATTTTTGTTGCAAACATGTGACAGAAATGTGTCAGACTCAGTTGAATGTATGAATGATGGTGGCCACTGCATGTTTTGTTTCTGACTGATTTCCTATGAGTGTGTGTGAGCTTTCTGTGTTCTGTGTTTATTGGTTCTGTTTTTGCTCTCTCTGCCACTGTCAGCTTCCAGCCACCACCACTAATGATGTTTGCTGTGGCTGATTTGATGGCCAGGGCTCAGAATTGTAGGGAGGCCGCTTGCTTGTTCCTGGCTGTCCAGACTCAAAATAATCACACAGAAACTGTATTAATTGAGTCACTGCTTGGCCTATTAGCCCTAGCTTCTTATTGGCTAACTCTTACATCTTAATTTAACCTATTTCTATTAACCTACGTATTGCCACATGGCTGTGGCTTACTGGCAAGATTCCTTCTGGCATCTGTCTCTTGCAGGGCTACATGGCTTCTCCTGACTCTGCCTTCTTTCTCCCAGCATTCAGTTTAGTTTTTCCTGCCTAGTTCTGTTCTGCCCTGCTATAGGTCCAAGGCAGTTTCTTTATTAATCAATGTTAATCACAGCATAAAGAGGGGAATCCCATATCACAGAATTTATCTCTGGGCTTCCTGGTCACAGAATTCAGTTTGGCAGGGATTCAGATGTCTTTTGGGTGTGCATGACATTAAAGTTGTTTTATGCTTACCTGAAAAGCTGGCTCTAAAGTTGGGTTATGACTCTTCCTCCTCTAGACCCAAGCATACCTGTTTAACCTCCAACCATCCTGTGTCAGGCAGGCCACCTGATTTTGTGACAGGGATCAGAGAGCAAAACAAAACAGCTAAAAAAAAATTTAGACAACTGGTTTCATTTAACTGCCTAAAACTTCTGCTAAGTTATAAACCTTATCTTAAGAGTTGTAAGACTATTAGGTGAATTTCCTGTACTTCAAGATTTGTAAGTGTATTGGGTATGGTCAAAAATCTGTAAAATATGTAACAAAAAATTAACTTAAAACTTGTAACACAAAGGGTTGATAGTTAAAAATCTATATGTAAGAAATCTTAAAGGAACTGTGTGGTGTGATGCCTTCTTGGGATAGAAGTGACTTGTGTCTTGCTGTCATCTTAGCTGCTGTTTGCCACCGTGAGGGAGGCAGCCACATAGCTGGCAATGTTGTTGGTTTGGAGAGGGTGGATGTCATGTAACTTTACTGCTATCTTTAAGGTGACCATAAAGTATAATCTAACCATGGAGTTAACAACAGGTCTCCAAGATATTTTGGGTTAGGATGGATTTTTGTATGATAATTCTTGTCCTGAAAGTAATCATAAAAACAAGGTTTTACAGTATTTAAAAACAATGCTTGTTTAGTAAGGTATTAAAGCGGCACCTCTGTGTGTTGACAATCAGTCTTTGTGATGTTAGAGTCACAGGTGGTATTGGTTTTAAAGGCATGAAGGGGTCATGCAGAGCAACTAAGGTGTGGCACTGAGTGTCAGGGTGGAAGTTCCTAAGGAGTGCCCAGGAGAGGGACCCTAGCAGTTTTGAAGATGCCAGTGCCATGTGATGGCCACCAGAAACAACAACCACAATGAAGTTAAGCCAGCTGCTGAGGGTGGGGATAGAGAGGTGATCTGCACCCCAAGGCTCGTGGCTGAATCCCAGATGCTGAGCATGGAGTTGCTTGTACCCTTGGACTTGGGTTTTACCTTGTCCAGACTATGGATGTGCCCTTCTTCTTCCCTCCTGAAGTAAAAAGTGTACTTTATTTCTGATATTATAGGAACCCACAGTTGAGAGATTTTAAACTTTTTAAAAAAGAAATTTTAGAATTCTATTAAAATTTTAAATAAAGCTGGGTGGGATGGTGCACACCTTTAATCAAAGTGCTCAAGAGGCAGAGGCAGGTGGATCTCCATGAGTTCGAAGCCAGTCTGGTCTACAGAGCAAGTTCCAGGACAGTCAGGGCTACACAGAGATACCCTGTCTCAAAATAAATAAATAAAAATAAATAGATATTTTCTTTAAATATTTAAGTTTATAAAGCTTTGGGTAGTTTTAAGTTTATAAAATGTGTTATGATGTCTTTTAAAATATATAATCCTAAAAATAAATAAATAAAAGGCTAAAGATAACCCTCATTTCAATTTAATTTTGATGAGTTGTATGTATATGAAAATCCATTCTTTTTACAAATTTCTAATTTATTGGAATATATATTTTCAAGATAAGAGTTAATGATTTTCTAAATTTCATTGATATCTATTATGATTTCATCTCTAATTATATAAATTTGTGACTTTCTTTCAGTTAATTTGGCTAAAGTTTTGTCAATCTTATCTTTTCAAAGAACCAACTGTTTGGTTTGTTGATTCTTTGTATATATGTTTATGTATATGGCTGTTGTTCCCATTTAAACTATATCCTGATCTTAATGACTTCTTCCCAGCTACTGACATGGAGTTTGACTTCTGTCTTCTTTTCTAAGGCCCTAAGAGTAAGTTATTTGTTAGAGATCTTTCTTGTTTCTTAGTGTAGGCATTTAGGGAGCTATAAGCGTTCCTCTTTCATTAGATCTCACAGGTTTTTGTCATGTTGTTGTAGCGACATTTCATTTGTATTTTAATAAATAAAGCTTGCCTGAAGACCAGAGGGTGAAATAGCCACTCTGGCCAGCCTTACAGACCAGGCAGTGGTGACATACACCTTTAATCCCAGTAGCCACACTATTTGCCATAGAAACCAGGTGATGCACATCTTTAATTCCAGCATTAGAGAGGAATATAAGATAGGAGGAGACAACTCTCAGACACAGCCTCATTCTGAGACTCCTGGAGGTGGAATCATGATTTCTGACTGAAGGTAGAGGTAAGAGCCGGTGCCTGGCTGTTTTGCTTTTCTGACCTTCAGGTTGAACCCCAATTTCTGTTTCTGGGGGTTTTTGTTATCTGTGTGACATGTTGTATTTTTATTTGCATTTGTTTCTATGAATTTTTAAGGCTTATGTCTTGATTTCTCTGTGGGTTTGTCTGTATTCCAAGGTTCTCTAGTTGGTTGGTACTTTTGTTCCAAGGGGATCAGATACAATCAAACTTCATTTTTCTCTATTTGCTGAAACTTGCTTTGTATCGAATGTAAGATCCATTTTAGTAGTTTGGGTTGGCAGTTGTCTTTCAGACTTGAACTAGGTCATTCCAAGCCCTTTGGCTTTTAATTTCAGTTGAATGATCTGCAGTTATTTCGAAGGGCTTGCCTTTATATGTGGATTGGTGTTTCTCTCTGGTTGCTTTTAATATACTTTCCCTGTTCTATATGGTAAAAGCGGTTTGTTTTCTGGTCTTGTCTGTTTGGTGTTCTAAATGTCTCTTGTATCTTGTTTGGTATTTATTTTCCTGACTCTGGGAAAGTTTCTGTTAAGATTCATTTGGAAATGTTTTCCACATTTTTAGAATGGGATTCTTCTCCTTGTTTTTTGTCTATAACCTATAGCTTTGGTCTTCTCAGACTGTCAAGCATATCTCAAAATTCCTACTGGTACCTTCTTATAATTTTATGTTTGTCCTTGTTTGACCATTCAAATTTCTCCATCTTATCTTCAGCTCTGATATTCTGTACTGTTCTTGATCTGTTTGACCAGTGAGACTTTCCATA